TTGCGCAAAAGCTTTTCCTGGAATTATGGCTAAAATTGGCTAAAAATACAGCTAAGATGGAATTATAAACTGGAAAGGCTCAATTTCAGAGTTATTATACGTTTATACGGTTTTAGCAATGGTCGTCCCACTCATCATGTCGGTAGGGCATGCCGGGATGGCGATCTTCAAATCGGGAGCAAAAGTATTGATTTCAAGCGCAACGACAAAAGCATGTTTTTAGACCTTGAAGCAAAGCATGGAAGACATTGCGAGTGCGGATCGACGGTTGCGAGAACAGCTGTTCCAGGATATTACTCAAGTACTGCAGGCCGAGAAGGGAATCATTAAACAACCGGAAATGGTCAGTTTTCTTGCCTTTTTTAAAATTTTTGTATAGGGAGTGGCCGAATATGCAGAGCTGGCAGCCGGCTTCATCTTGCCTGGATGCCGATCGACGATATTTGCTGGTGGATTGGTCGGGAAAACCATCGGTGGATTGGATATTACGGTAACGGTTTCCACGGTTGACAACAATTTTCTAAGTTTAGGAAAAGCTATTCGGCCGTCTCTTTGTGGGGACAACATTGCTGGGTGTTGCCTCGGACGCTGTGACGATCATTTCATCGATTAGAGGGCTCAAAAACGACCAAAAGGGCCAATTTCACGATGCCGTCATCAAGGCATTTTCCGAGATTTACTTCTTAGAAAGAGTTTTTTTAGACAATCGAAGAGCTAGATGCCGATACGAGATATATCGAATCGATGCTCGATCATGTTCTTCGCGTCAGTTTTATGAATGCGATGTGCTTGACGATCAAGGAAGACAACTTTGAAGCTCAGCCGATCCATTTCCAGTTCGTGAATGTCGACCTGAGAGCGGCTTGAATAATCTATTACCTAGAAATTTAGAATTTGGTTGTGGCGATATCTGCTGTGTATAAAAGTTTTTTACAAAATCCTTCAAACTAACATCATGCCAGAATCAACGCTAAGGAAAAAGATTCCAAAAACACCTTTTGGGAGAGAAAGCGGACATTTTTATGATTAATCTTTTTGAATTTCCCCTTTTTAAAGATCAATATAACATTTTTTGGGGGGTTTCGAGCCACGGGGTTTTTTCTCTATGGCGGGGCGCGCACGGGATAACGTAGCAGTCCAAGCGACAGGTGGATCGGCTGCGCGCACAGAGCCCCATATTAACCCAAGAGAGGGGCCCGAAAAGTTGCCAAATTTTACTCGTTCTAAGGCTTATAACTTTTTTCCTAGAAACTCTGGTCAATTCTCCACCTCACTATCGATAGAGAAGGATCCCAGCTACATTTTGGTAGCAAAATAAGGACGATCGCGAGGCACAACATTGACTTGAAAGCCGTTTAAATGGACCCAGGACTGAAAATCCGGAAATTGTGCGAAGCGTTTTTCTTAGAATTTAGACTTATTATTTCCGCTTTTTTTGTTTAGTTTGGCTGACGGATGATGGCCAATGACAAGTTTGCTACTTACAAGGTGCTGGATGTCAACACGCCGAAGGGTCGAAGGCTTGATTTTCTAGACCTTCCGGAATCAACCGGTGCAACACCCCAATTTGCCTGCAATCGTTTTGACGGGCAAACCTAAACAGCTTCAGGCCATTCCTGGTAAAAACTGGGGTTGAACGAGCCAGAAGTAGCCATAATCTCTCGATTTCTATGTGTAGCGTCAACTTGGCTAAATTCGGCAGTTCTCGTTATTGGGGTGTGTATATCAAGGATGTTGATGCTCTTCCGCACCTTTTTATGAAAAAAGCAAAACGTTATCATGTTCCTTTCCCCGGGAGGGATCGAACCAGCATCCCCAACCTGTCCCTTGGACCGGCGCCTTAGACCACTAGGCCACGCCCCTCCCCACCCCCCATGCGCGCGAAAAGACCCCGTGGAGCGCGGTCAATCGACGTTCCGCAACCGAACAGCCGGTCCCCCCATTTTGATGCGCAAGAAAATAAAGGCACAACGATAAGGAGTAGATTTTTCCCCGACATCCATCCATTTGTATGCCCAGCATCATTCAATGAGTGTTGTTTTTATTCTTATTATTCCTTTTCAATAGTTCATTTTTTGATTTTCCGAATTATCAGCCTATATCGTATAATCTAAAAATTAATCTTCGCGGTTTAATTAGCTGCATTGAATCTTTTTCGAAATTAGATATCTGAGGAATGGAGGAATACGACCGATTCAAGCAAGCGATTGCCGAAAAATTGGCAACTTTCAAGCAACAGAGAGCGGATTCTGTGATCGCTCCATTGGCTGTAATCGCTAACAACGTATGGAATAAACATACTGAATAAAGTTTAGAAGTTATTTATTGAAATTTTTTACAACATTTTTTAAACCTTTTCAGTCGGCCTTGGACGAGCAAGCCACAGCGAAATTTCAACTGTTTTTGAGCGGGACGAGTTTTGCGTCTTATTTTGCTTGCATAATATCGCCAGCAGGTTTGTCCTTTCGAGCGATTAACATTTTATTTTATCTATTTACTGATTTTTACTCTATTTTACTTAGAGTTTTTAGCATTACTCGTCCCGATGCTAACTGCCGTTTTCCAGGCCACGCTCACTTTTGTCAGTTCCGGCACAGCTGTATCTTTTTCCGGTCTTTTAAATTTCAGAGCAGTCCTAGATGCTTAAAATTTTTTGATGCAAGATTATGCTTCTTTTTTCACGGCGTTTTTTTATCAAAATCTTCCAGGCGGCGAAAGCGACGTTCGAAAAGATTGGGGAAATCGATCGGCGACTCCGCGAACAACTATTTCTCGATCTAAATCAGGCAATACACGATCAAAATGGCATCATCAAGGCCCCAGATATGGTTAGTCGAGTTGCGCTCAATGTGAAATTTTCTTTTCAGAGCGTAACTGAATACGCAAACCTGGCCGCCAACGGCTTAATTTTGCCCGGATGCCGTTATACCATATTTTGCGCGGAATTGATTGGGAAAAGTATTGCCGGATTTAAGATTACGGTCAGTTTCAATCTATGAAAAGTATAGGCTAAGAAATAGAGATAAAAATAAGCGATTCCAGGAAGAGGTCATCGTCCAGCTATTTGGTGCTACCACGACGCTTGGTGTGGCAGCTGATCTCTGGGGCATATTTTCCTCTATTAAATGCCTTTCAAGGGATCAAAAAGGACAACTATACGATGCTACCGTTAAAGTACGAAACTATACTTGAAGGGGTGGCAATTAATGGCTAGCTAATTTGCGAATTTTAGGGCTAACTTTGATTTTTGTGTCTGATTTGCCTGAAAATCCCATAGAGATCCCATGCCTAGAAAATCGATAGCCAGGACTTTCACGTCCCTTTAATCGAAAACCTGGTCCTATATCTGTATTTTTAGACAATCGAGGAGCTCGACAATGATACGAAAGATATCGAAAAACTCCTCGACAACTTACTGCGCATCAATTTTATGAAGGCCATGAATCCGGTGATAGGCAGTGAAAACTTTGATGTCCGTTTCCCCGACGAATTTGATAATATCGCACTTGACGCAGCTTGACAACCCATAACGACATAAAATTGTCCAACCTTGCTGCTAAAGTACATATAATACCCATTGACATTTCGCATCATCGAATTTTGCATAGAATTAAGCGTTACGCGAGGGATTCGTGAGCTTTGCGTATTTAATTTTCTCATTTTCAGCCTCCAATTACCTCTAAAAGTTTATTCGTATTACAACGCAAACACATTTCAATCAATAATAACATTAAAATTAACGATTTTTACATTAAAATTGGGGACATTACTATCTTATACTCAATACAATGGCCACGCTGCATAACTAGAACTATTTCTAGTTCCTTGTATTTTTCTGAAACGATTCGAGCAAAAAATTAAGCAAATATATTGGGTCAAAATCCTATTTATTAATCGTAGACTTATCGATGATACAAATAAGTATGGGAACTCCCCCGCTCCGCTCCCGCTCCCCCTTCACGGAACTCTCGATCCTTTCCTCGCAGCGAGCCGATAAAACAGCATGCAATTTGCTCGAGGTTAATATCAATACTTTTCCGTCTTTGCGTCGAACTCTTGCCACGTATTCGCCTCGATAGATGGCATCATAGCGCTCCGGGATCCAAAATTTGGCCGTTTTCTGCGAGGGTATATCTTCCTCCGACAAATCAAAATGTATCCTCCAGACGTCTCGTTTATAGACCAGCCATTCATCTAGAAATCCCGAAAGAATCTCGCGTAGTTTTAACAGACTGTAATGGCCGTAAAACTTGATTTGCGAATGCTTGAACTGCAGGTACCATCCGGCTTCTTCCTCATATTTCGGCAGGCTAATTCGTAGTTTTTCTGCCGAATTGTTTATGAAATTGATGACGTCACCGGATGGGTCTCTTCGCGGCTTTTTTGTTGCTAGTCGCACGTGGACTTTACGGAATTTCCACCCGGGTTTCTTGAACTTTTCAAGCTGCTCGGCGGTCCACAGGTGGGGATGGCCAATGACGAGCGAAGAGGCCGTTAATCGAAGCAAAGAAGCCATCCCGCATGGCTTATAAAGAATGGCCACTTCAAAGTGGGCATCCTGGATGATGGAGGGCAAATTCACGTCGAATTCTGATCCACAAAGCGCTGTAACTTTCAAAATTCCCCATCCGGTCGATTCGATGCTTGAGAAATAGCGTGGACTCGAGCAGACGAGCTCCCAGTTCTGTCGGCTTGTAGTGGCGAGAGTCATCAGGTCATTCAGGAGGTATGTTCTAGCTGAAATATTGCATTAAAAAACTATTAAAACACCTTTCATTAAGTTACTAGACCTTTCTAAAGTTACACAAAGAGGTTTTTTGGCGAATAAAAAAATCGATTGTACGGCGATCGAAACTACGTGACAATCGGCAAATTTGCGTTTTCACGTCAAAACGGGGGCTAGAGCAAGCGCAGCGCGGTCGCGTTGCAGTCGCATCGAAAATTATTTTTTCGCACGGTATCAAATCACAGATGGCATAACACAAAGGGCGAGTTGTTCAGGGTCCCAGCATATCCTTCATCAGCTCCCGGATGGTGTCGGAGGAGAGTGAGGCGATTGAGGAGAAGGACTGCTCCATGAGGTCGGTCTCGGTGTAGTCTTTAAGTTTTTCGTCTTGGCGCAACTGTTGAAGGGGGAGCACGACCTCATCATCCTTTCGAGCCCGTTCCATCTCCTCGGACCTGCTAAAGAAGAAATATTGCCCATAAGATCGAAGGAACCGCGTGCATGTCTTGCATGGGAGTGCGGGATCCTTTGGGCGGAAGCGGCCACAATCCTTGCAGTTGGTGCCGGCCATCTGGAAAGGTTTAGTGAATTTCGTTATTTCCCCTTTTTGCAAGAGAATTATGGAAAACCAGAGTGCGAGAAATTCGATAATACGACGGCGGGGGTCGAACCCGCATACCATGGACTGAATCGCCCCCACGCACCCCCCTACACCATAGCGGGGGCAAGCGACAGAGAGAGGAAGTGGAATAAGAGGGGATAAGAGGGCGCAGACAGCCAAAATTTAGACTCGCAGCCGCTGTAATACACTCAATTAGCAAAATTCTTTCAATAACGACATACTTGCCACACAGTTAGATGATCTAGCGGGATATGGAAAAATCAAAATATTCTAGAAGTCATCAGGAGCATGTCGTCGTCACTTGGGCAACCGGTTGATCTGGAGGGGGTTCGCATCCGCTGCAACAGCTCGAGTTCATATAATTCTTTCACTAACGACATCCTTGTCACACAGTTAGATGATCTAGCGGGATATGGAAAAATCAAAATATTCTAGAAGTTATCAGGAGCATGTCGTCGTCACTTGGGCAACCGGTTGATCTGGAGGGGGTTCGCATCCGCTGCAACAGCTCGAGTTCATATAATTCTTTCACTAACGACATCCTTGTCACACAGTTAGATGATCTAGCGGGGTATGGAAAAATCAAAATATTCTAGAAGTTATCAGGAGCATGTCGTCGTCACTTGGGCAACCGGTTGATCTGGAGGGGTTCGCATCCGCTGTAACAGCTCGAGTTCATATAATTCCTTCACTAATGACATCCTTGCCAGTCAGTTACATGATCTAGCGGGGTATGGAAAAATCAAAATATTCTAGAAGTCATCAGGAGCATGTCGTCGTCACTTGGGCAACCGGTTGATCTGGAGGGGGTTCGCATCCGCTGTAACAGCTCGAGTTCATATAATTCTTTCACTAACGACATCCTTGCCAGTCAGTTACATGATCTAGCGGGGTATGGAAAAATCAAAATATCCTAGAAGTCATCAGGAGCATGTCGTCGTCACTTGGGCAACCGGTTGATCTGGAGGGGGTTCGCATCCGCTGTAACAGCTCGAGTTCATATAATTCCTTCACTAATGACATCCTTGCCAGTCAGTTACATGATCTAGCGGGGTATGGAAAAATCAAAATATTCTAGAAGTCATCAGGAGCATGTCGTCGTCACTTGGGCAACCGGTTGATCTGGAGGGGTTCGCATCCGCTGTAACAGCTCGAGTTCATATAATTCTTTCACTAATGACATCCTTGCCAGTCAGTTACATGATCTAGCGGGGTATGGAAAAATCAAAATATTCTAGAAGTCATCAGGAGCATGTCGTCGTCACTTGGGCAACCGGTTGATCTGGAGGGGGTTCGCATCCGCTGTAACAGCTCGAGTTCATATAATTCTTTCACTAACGACATCCTTGTCACACAGTTAGTTGATCTAGCGGGGTATGGAAAAATCAAAATATTCTAGAAGTCATCAGGAGCATGTCGTCGTCACTTGGGCAACCGGTTGATCTGGAGGGGTTCGCATCCGCTGTAACAGCTCGAGTTCATATAATTCTTTCACTAACGACATCCTTGTCACACAGTTAGTTGATCTAGCGGGGTATGGAAAAATCAAAATATTCTAGAAGTCATCAGGAGCATGTCGTCGTCACTTGGGCAACCGGTTGATCTGGAGGGGGTTCGCATCCGCTGTAACAGCTCGAGTTCATATAATTCTTTCACTAACGACATCCTTGTCACACAGTTAGTTGATCTAGCGGGGTATGGAAAAATCAAAATATTCTAGAAGTCATCAGGAGCATGTCGTCGTCACTTGGGCAACCGGTTGATCTGGAGGGGGTTCGCATCCGCTGTAACAGCTCGAGTTCATATAATTCTTTCACTAACGACATCCTTGTCACACAGTTAGTTGATCTAGCGGGGTATGGAAAAATCAAAATATTCTAGAAGTCATCAGGAGCATGTCGTCGTCACTTGGGCAACCGGTTGATCTGGAGGGGTTCGCATCCGCTGTAACAGCTCGAGTTCATATAATTCTTTCACTAACGACATCCTTGTCACACAGTTAGTTGATCTAGCGGGGTATGGAAAAATCAAAATATTCTAGAAGTCATCAGGAGCATGTCGTCGTCACTTGGGCAACCGGTTGATCTGGAGGGGGTTCGCATCCGCTGTAACAGCTCGAGTTCATATAATTCTTTCACTAACGACATCCTTGTCACACAGTTAGTTGATCTAGCGGGGTATGGAAAAATCAAAATATTCTAGAAGTCATCAGGAGCATGTCGTCGTCACTTGGGCAACCGGTTGATCTGGAGGGGGTTCGCATCCGCTGTAACAGCTCGAGTTCATATAATTCTTTCACTAACGACATCCTTGCCAGTCAGTTACATGATCTAGCGGGGTATGGAAAAATCAAAATATTCTAGAAGTCATCAGGAGCATGTCGTCGTCACTTGGGCAACCGGTTGATCTGGAGGGGGTTCGCATCCGCTGTAACAGCTCGAGTTCATATAATTCTTTCACTAACGACATCCTTGTCACACAGTTAGTTGATCTAGCGGGGTATGGAAAAATCAAAATATTCTAGAAGTCATCAGGAGCATGTCGTCGTCACTTGGGCAACCGGTTGATCTGGAGGGGTTCGCATCCGCTGTAACAGCTCGAGTTCATATAATTCTTTCACTAACGACATCCTTGCCAGTCAGTTACATGATCTAGCGGGGTATGGAAAAATCAAAATATTCTAGAAGTCATCAGGAGCATGTCGTCGTCACTTGGGCAACCGGTTGATCTGGAGGGGGTTCGCATCCGCTGTAACAGCTCGAGTTCATATAATTCTTTCACTATCGACATCCTTGTCACACAGTTAGTTGATCTAGCGGGGTATGGAAAAATCAAAATATTCTAGAAGTCATCAGGAGCATGTCGTCGTCACTTGGGCAACCGGTTGATCTCTGGAGGGGGTTCGCATCCGCTGTAACAGCTCGAGTTGATATAATTCTTTCATTAATGACATCCTTGCCAGTCAGTTACATGATCTAGCGGGGTATGGAAAAATCAAAATATTCTAGAAGTCATCAGGAGCATGTCGTCGTCACTTGGGCAACCGGTTGATCTGGAGGGGGTTCGCATCCGCTGTAACAGCTCGAGTTGATATAATTCTTTCATTAATGACATCCTTGCCAGTCAGTTACATGATCTAGCGGGGTATGGAAAAATCAAAATATTCTAGAAGTCATCAGGAGCATGTCGTCGTCACTTGGGCAACCGGTTGATCTGGAGGGGGTTCGCATCCGCTGTAACAGCTCGAGTTCATATAATTCTTTCACTAACGACATCCTTGTCACACAGTTAGTTGATCTAGCGGGGTATGGAAAAATCAAAATATTCTAGAAGTCATCAGGAGCATGTCGTCGTCACTTGGGCAACCGGTTGATCTGGAGGGGGTTCGCATCCGCTGTAACAGCTCGAGTTCATATAATTCTTTCACTAACGACATCCTTGCCAGTCAGTTACATGATCTAGCGGGGTATGGAAAAATCAAAATATTCTAGAAGTCATCAGGAGCATGTCGTCGTCACTTGGGCAACCGGTTGATCTGGAGGGGTTCGCATCCGCTGTAACAGCTCGAGTTCATATAATTCTTTCACTAACGACATCCTTGCCAGTCAGTTACATGATCTAGCGGGGTATGGAAAAATCAAAATATTCTAGAAGTCATCAGGAGCATGTCGTCGTCACTTGGGCAACCGGTTGATCTGGAGGGGGTTCGCATCCGCTGTAACAGCTCGAGTTCATATAATTCTTTCACTAACGACATCCTTGTCACACAGTTAGTTGATCTAGCGGGGTATGGAAAAATCAAAATATTCTAGAAGTCATCAGGAGCATGTCGTCGTCACTTGGGCAACCGGTTGATCTGGAGGGGTTCGCATCCGCTGTAACAGCTCGAGTTGATATAATTCTTTCATTAATGACATCCTTGCCAGTCAGTTACATGATCTAGCGGGGTATGGAAAAATCAAAATATTCTAGAAGTCATCAGGAGCATGTCGTCGTCACTTGGGCAACCGGTTGATCTGGAGGGGTTCGCATCCGCTGTAACAGCTCGAGTTCATATAATTCTTTCACTAACGACATCCTTGTCACACAGTTAGTTGATCTAGCGGGGTATGGAAAAATCAAAATATTCTAGAAGTCATCAGGAGCATGTCGTCGTCACTTGGGCAACCGGTTGATCTGGAGGGGTTCGCATCCGCTGTAACAGCTCGAGTTCATATAATTCTTTCACTAACGACATCCTTGCGAGTCAGTTACATGATCTAGCGGGGTATGGAAAAATCAAAATATTCTAGAAGTCATCAGGAGCATGTCGTCGTCACTTGGGCAACCGGTTGATCTGGAGGGGTTCGCATCCGCTGTAACAGCTCGAGTTCATATAATTCTTTCACTAACGACATCCTTGCCAGTCAGTTACATGATCTAGCGGGGTATGGAAAAATCAAAATATTCTAGAAGTCATCAGGAGCATGTCGTCGTCACTTGGGCAACCGGTTGATCTGGAGGGGGTTCGCATCCGCTGTAACAGCTCGAGTTGATATAATTCTTTCATTAATGACATCCTTGCCAGTCAGTTACATGATCTAGCGGGGTATGGAAAAATCAAAATATTCTAGAAGTCATCAGGAGCATGTCGTCGTCACTTGGGCAACCGGTTGATCTGGAGGGGGTTCGCATCCGCTGTAACAGCTCGAGTTCATATAATTCTTTCATTAATGACATCCTTGCCAGTCAGTTACATGATCTAGCGGGGTATGGAAAAATCAAAATATTCTAGAAGTCATCAGGAGCATGTCGTCGTCACTTGGGCAACCGGTTGATCTGGAGGGGGTTCGCATCCGCTGTAACAGCTCGAGTTGATATAATTCTTTCATTAATGACATCCTTGCCAGTCAGTTACATGATCTAGCGGGGTATGGAAAAATCAAAATATTCTAGAAGTCATCAGGAGC